AATTTCTCAATTCTAAACTGAAGAGAAAAGAACACACATGGCATGACGATAAAACAAACAGGGCCAATAAACCAAACAATCACAAAAAGGAATTATGTTTTAATTACCTTATTAACTATGAACTCAAAACTGTAAAGTTTGACATGTTTTGAGCTGTGTGATACAGCTAAGACTCCTTGTGACAGCAGCACATCCACCGCCGTCTTACCAAAGACCTGAACATAACATACAGTCATGTAACAACATAACATAACATAACAACGTAACATAACATTACATAACGTAACATAACATAACGTAGCGTAATGTAACATTACAACATAACATAACAACGTAACGTAACATAACAACGTATCGTAACGTATCGTAACATAACAACGTAACATAACATAACTACGTAACATAACGAAATGTAGCGTAACATAACATAACAACGTAACGTAGCATAACATATGCAACAACAGCGTAACAACGTAATGTAACGCAGTGTAGCGTAACATAACATAACAAAGCTTTAGTGTTACATTAGCGTTACATTATGTTGTTGTTATGTTATGTTGTTAAGTTACATAATATAACAACATAACATAACAACAACATAATGTAACATAACAACGTAACATAACATAACGTAGCGTAATGTAACATAACAACGTAACATAACGTAACGTAGCGTAACATAACATAACGTAACGTAGCGTAACATAACATAACGTAACGTAGCATAACATAACATAACAACGTAACGTAACATAACATAACTACGTAACATAACGTAACGTAGCGTAACATAACATAACAACGTAACATAACGTAATGTAACAATAGCGTAACGTAACAACGTAACATAACAACGTAATATAACGCAGTGTAGCGTAACATAACGTAACAAAACATAACATAACAAAGCTTTAGCGTTACATTATGTTGTTGTTATGTTATGTTGTTACGTTACATAACATAACAACAACGTAATGTAACATAACGTAACAACGTAACGTAACATAACAACATAATGTAACATCTTTTATATTGACTCATTCATTTGACAATGCTCATTTGAATATAATAAAATGATAAAAATAGACAATAGAAAATACTATAATACTATTTATCGAAACTTTTGAAATACACTTTAGGTTTTATTAAAATATGTAGCTTAGGTGGAGCTAAATTGAAATAAATGAATTAAAAAAAAAGATCAATTATAAAATGTATGACATTCCGTTACAACAAAAATAGATTTATATGAATGTACTTATGCAGATATTACTTTTTTGTTTATCTCCAGCATTCCTACAAGCTCCAGTGGAAAGACTTGAAATACGGCCACACGCATGAGGATGTTATTATCAACACCAGCCTGAGAGAGAGAGAGAGAGAGAGAGAGAGAGAGAAACATGAAATAACCATTGAAAAGAATACCCTCATTCAGAAGGTCTTGAAGCTGCAAACAACAGAAAAACTAAGTAAACTTGAAAGTTGTTTGCCTCCAGCCCGTATACTACCCTTAAAGCCATGCAAAATATAGCAAGTAGCACATATTGTCAAAACGCTCGATCTGCTCGTACTGTAGCCATGAAGATGTTGAGACATAGCAACACTTTCTCACCAGCTGCCCTATCTATGAGCAAAATTAGGAGGAACTTATATCTAAAATTTTAAATAATTTGCATACTTCCCTATTATATAGTAGGCGAAAAACAGTATGTGACAAAAGTATGTCCGAATTCACAGTACTCGTAAAAGAGTAGGGATGGGAGACACAGGGTACCTCGCGATACGATATAGGATACATGGATCACGATACCGATAATATCACGATACAACAATTCAACAATAACCGATATATCGCTAGACAATCCTATAATGATACATCACGATATCTGTCTACCTATGAAAACAAAATGCTAGTTAAATGGTTAAGTGCAGGTTTTCCAGACTTTGGACTTAAATGTGTCTGGGGTATCTATTATTTTTCAGGATGCACGATATATAGGCCACCATATCGGTATCGGCCGATATATGTTCATTTGTAACATTATCGTTATCCGCCCGATAAGAATATTTGGCCAATATATTTAAGCTGATAAATAATGGATTATTTCCTTCAGCTGAGACACTTCAGATGCGAACTGTTCGCCACGATGATTTAGAATTGCTTGAAATATGATTGGAATCCCTTCAAGTTAGAGCCAGACCGATATATCGGCCGATATTAGGCATTTTCCAAAATATCGGTATCGGCAGTTATAATGGCTGATAAATGAATATTTAAAAAAATAAAATAAAAACAGACAAAACGCGCTTCAATCATCTCTCCTTGGCCTGTTATATTGAAAATGTATGTTTTGCAGTAATGTACAATTGTACAAAAATGAACAATTTGCAGTATGATGTTATCCATTCCTAAATTATGGCTCATCATAGACTAGCTAACCACAAAGCTAGCTAATGCCACTATCATCAGTGGAAGACCGATAATGTTAACATTAATGAGCTTGGAAACCACAATGAACTTTTTCTGCCTAAATAAAGTAATGATTACTGTATTTATAACTAGCATATCTCTAGTTACAGTCCCTGCATTGTAAAATGTAAGTTAGACTTGCGCGGAGTGAACATTTAGACATAGAGAAAAAGTATCAAATGTATCTCGTGCAGAAAAGTTAGCTTTTCTTTTACACGTGTGTGAAATCCAACAATATTTAATAATAAAAAAATATCGGCCGATATATCGGAATGTCGGATTTCAAAACCCAAAAATATTTGTATCGGTATCGGCCTTCAAAATCCTTTATCGGTCGGGGTCTACAAGTGCAAAATAATCTGTCATATGCTCCATACAATTATAATGAGAATGATGGCTTTTAAATTGTTTTTGTAATCAGGCTCTCATATCTCATATAAAAATTTGGATTTAGATTTATCGGACAATATATCGGTTCTCTGCTTTCAGATTTAAAGAATTATCGGTTCGGCCAAAATGTTAATATCGGTGCATCCCTAATTATTTTACTCACATCTGTCCGCCATCCCGTTAAAAACCTCTCTTTATTAGGCTAGTTAACTTATGTTTACATTTTCCTTATTCATGTGTTGAGCGCCACCTCGAGGAGCCATGAAGTACTGATGCTGGGAGGAGGGAAATCTATTTAGAGTGCCTTATTTTATTCATTCAAATATTGATATTTGACGCCAGTGTATGGATTCTCATTTCGCATGGAGAAGGACAATGATATTTTGTCCCCTATAAATAGTAGACAAAGAGAATTTATGAATGCATGTGAAGCGACATAATTGGCGCTGGAAGGTCATATGATAATTACAACATGGCAAATGTAGTTTCACTCACACATTCATACTATATATAAAGTACTTTTTAGAGGTTGCAAAGTAATTACTATGTGATTTCGGACAAAGCCATATCTTACTATACATTTCACTGTAAACAATAGGAATGCTATGGCAATACATTGTAACAATTGTCATGCCAATAAAGCACATTTAAATTGAAATAAAAAAAAAAAATCAACTGAATTAAGAGAGTGACCCAACTGCATATGAAATACATGCAACCCAGATATGAGCCTCAGTGCAGTCTGACCTGTCGCTGCAGAGTCGTCTGTTTGCTCTGAATGGATTTGACATAAAATGTCTCCTGCGAGGAGTCCCAACCTAAAGATCTGTTAACAAACTCATATTAGTACATCAAAAACACTTCATTTCAGATGTTACATTAGTGAGATTGCTGCTTTTGACAGAAAATGTACTGTAACATGCAGCTAGTTATAATTTCAGCACCTGAATTTGAGATGCGAGGAGAGGTAGACCCGCTGTAGCGTTCCTCCAGTGTCAGCCGACAGCCGATGCAACCAGTTATGAGCCGTCAGGGCCAACAGGCAGGATTTCTGCTCTGAAGCATTTGGTAGAACATTGTCCTGCAAAAAAAAACAAACCACACACTAAAAAATCAATAACACAGAAAGTTATATGCAAATGGATGACGTGCAGCAGATGATCAGACTTACTAGAGGACACTGGCACAACAATGCGTCTTCAATCTTCTCAGTTTTAGGAGTTTTGGGAAGCTCGTACAGCTGTTCTGGCTTCGGCAAAAGGCTGTGATTTGTAATATATTTGAGCTATATTAACAGATGTCATATTTTGGGAAAACATACTTTTCCTAAGTATCTTAACGTAATAAAATCAGATAGTTTACCTGCTGTAACAACACCTGTAATTATCAAAGTATATCCGTCCACTTTCATAAGCGATGAGGGACTTGGAAGTCTTGCTCCAAACCTTGACGAATTCTGTGTCATCCTATAAAGTTATTACATACAGTATCGGTCAAAAGTTTGAAAATATTACTATTTTTTATTTTTAGAAAGAAGTCTCTTCTGCTCATCAAGCATACATTTATTTGATCAAAAATACAGAAAACAGTAGTATTGTGAAATATTACTACTTAACTTAAAATAATGGTTTTCTATTTGAAAATAATTTAAAATATAAATTATTTTCCAAGAAACATTTCTTATTATTATCAATGTTGGAAACAGTTGGGCAGTTTTTTTTCAGGTTTGATATCATTGATGAATAAAAAGTAAAATTAAATTTATTTTAAATAATAAAGACTGGAGTAATGATGTTGAAAATTCAGCTTTGATCACAGAAATAAAATATATTTGAAAATATATTAAAATAGAAAACCATTATTTTACACTGAAATACTATTTCACAATATTACTGGTTTTTCTGTATGTTTGATCAAATAAATGCAGGCTTGACGAGCATAAGACGAACTAATTACAGTAAAACAGAATCAGACTAATTAGAAAATAAAAACTCCAGTATCAAACACAGCAATACTTAACTTACTTGGAGAATGATGTTCCTCAGGATCTTAAAGTTTGCTCCCAGTAATCTGCCAAAGTCATTGGATCCACGTGATCTTGAAGCCAGGACAGCACAGCTGTTCTTAGTGCGGGGCGCGCATGGGGACGGGAGCGCGCACATGGGGGACGACGACACTTACTCACACCATTCAAATAAAATGCACTGACTACCACAAAACTAAGCGGAATAATCTTCAGAAATGGCATCTAATTGAGTGCTGGGTAAAGTCAACTCTGTCTTTTTTATACGCAGACTCTGTATGCAATTATATATAGCGTTGCTCGTTATATCCACACCACAACAGTTAACTTTAGCTAATGAACCGAAGAGCATCTGCTTCCTAGGACCTAAATAGTTAAATGTGCGCGTTCAATTTGCTATTGCTGAAATTAAAGGTGTATTTTCGTGAGACATTTTGGCACTGAGCTTGAGCTAACATTTAAATTGCTTAGTTACTGAAATCCTCATATCGGCCGTTTCCAAAACGTTGCAAAATCATACAATACGTTCGCATAAAATCTTACAGTTGTAGCTGCTTCTAGTGGAATTTTTTGGGTTGCTTGAAATTGTAATCAGCCTACACTCACATGCTCACATGTGTTTACAAAAACTTCCGGGTGTACGTCATATGAAGGCGCATCTTCGCTGTTGCTAGCTGGGAAATGTAGTTTGGTTCTTCACACATCAGATAAAGGCCTGCTTTCACAGACAGGGCTTAGATTAAGCCAGGATTAGGCCTTCGACATTTAAGTAGCTTTTATAAATTTGCCTTAGAAATAAAAAAAAAAAACACTACTGGTGTGCATCTTGAGACAAAACAATGTCACTGACAAACGCTATCAGTGCAAGTTGCAGTTAAAAAACAGCTCAAACATGCATTTTAGTCTGGGACTATGTCTGTGAAACCAGGCGACAGTGTGTTTGGTTAGTAATAACCATCATTCATTTCTGTTCTCAGATGAGTATAGAGAAATGAGGAGGTTTGTGAAGCTGACTGTCTGTGCTGTGAGGCTGTACAGTGGAGGAAGACCACCTGTCCCGTTAGGAGGAAGAATCCTCACTGACCCCGATGACATCTTTCAGCATAACATGTGGTACAGTCTACAGATGTTTGAGTCTTGTGTCTCATCTATCTATCTATCTATCTATCTATCTATCTATCTATCTATCTATCTATCTATCTATCTATCTATCTATCTATCTATATATATATATATATATATATATATATACACTATATTAGGGCTGTCAAACGATTAATTGTGATTAATCGCATCCAAAATAAAAGTTTTTATTTACATAATATATGTGGGTGCACTGGGTATAATGATTTTGTATGTATATATATATATATATATATATATATATATACACACACAATTACACATGCATGTATATTTATTAAAAATATTATTTATATATAAAAAAATATATATATATATATATATATATATATATATAATATTAAATCTATATACAGTATATACTGTACATGAAAATATTTCTGAAATAAATACAAGCATTGCAGAAGCTCATACGTGCGTAACATGAGAACGAACCTCATTGGTCCTTGCAGAAGCTCAAACGTGCTGCGTAACATGAGAATGACCCTCACTGGTTGTCACGTGTCAAGCGAACATGCATGAGCTTCTATTTACCAGATCTGATGTGTTGATGAATGTTTAAATGTGGGTAAAAGCCTAAATTAAATCTGTTCATCATTTAAAGCGATCGAGTCTCTTAAGAAAATTTGGACTAAAGCACTCAATTCAAATGGATTATTTTTAAGATCTCTTTATAAACGTGTTGAAGCGTCAAAGTGGTAGATGTGTAGCTGTCAATGGAGGGACAGAAATAAAAAAAACAATCATAAAATAAAAAAATAAATCATATTTGAAAAAGAAAAGTTGGGTGAAATGAATGTTCATACGGTGTGCTGCGCCTCAGGGATCATGTGCAGTGGACTGAAGAAGAGAGAGAGAAAGCGCAGCAGAAAGCAGAGGAGAACTCGAAAGACAAGATTCCCCTCGAAGAGCAATGTAAGGATTCAAAACTCATTGGTGGTTGCCAGATTGTTTTTCTAGTTTTGATTCCTTGTTGTTTTCTCTCCCATCAGCAAAATACGACAGAGAAGCTCATACATATTGGGACCGATTTTATGAGATGCACCAGAGCAAGTTCTTCAGAAACCGGAATTGGCTCTTCACTGAGTTCCCAGAGCTTCTCCCTCCAGACGCTGCAGGAACGGAGTCTGGGAATGGAGAAAAACACCAGCCCTGCGGTTCCAGCACATTAACCAGTGAAACGGACACTTTCCCTGGACAACATGCTGCTTTTAGGATACTAGAGGTGTTACCGCCATTCAGTCACGCAAAAAAAAAAACTAGTTCTTTATTACCAAATAATAATTTCTGATTTGTTAAATTATTAAGGAAGGCTCATTCACACCAAGGGCCATAACGATAACTAGTTGTGATGTTCTGTTTTAACAGTTTATAGAGTTTTATCCACAAGTTTCCGAGGGGCGCTCCTGTAAAAAATAAAGTGGGTGAAACTTCCGGTGAGGCGGCGGAAGTAGCATGCCAATGGTATTTTGTGTGTTAGTTAGCGAAGAGGCTAGCTGTTTTTCGGAGAATTATTTTACTATTTAAAGACGCAAATCTTTACGAGAGATGTCGTTACGGAGCTCAGGGACAACATGTGCTGTTCGCGGTTGTATGTATAACCGGACTAAACTAGTTCAGTGGCTTAAACGTGATTGTTTTGAACATAAGCTGAAAACGAAATCAGAGTGATCCTGCCAGAGCCCGTCTCTGATCCTGCCAACGACTGTAGTTTCCATCACCTCCCAAAAGACGACGAATCTTCCTGTGTATATTTGTTTAAATTCTTAATATTCTATAAACTCTATCAGCATGTGATTGGCTGTTCGCTACTGATGTTACACCTAAACTCAGGATCAAAGCCTGTGTTGACAGAATACCAAATGTGCCAGTTAATGTATTCTAGTAGCACATTCATTTATAATTTTGAATAAACTCCAAAGCACAATGACTAAGTGTGTATTTTTTATTTTAATTGTTTGTCAGCTCGCACAACTGTCTGTCACCATGCCTTGATGAGTATTGATTATTAATAATGTTATTATAATACTCCCAATCAACTACTGCGGAGGGTAAAGGTACTGTTATTTCACCCTTTTGAATTTCGTTGAGGTTGTGTTCCCACATCGTTAGCTAGTTTGGATCGCTATAACTTGAATGACTGTCAACTGCTGAATGAACGAGTGTCAAGCATGTCAAATCGCGCTTTGTTTACTTTGAACCGGAAGTCGCGCCCACTTTTGACGCAAGGCCTCATGGGGCGTAGGAAACTTGTGGATAAGGCTAAAAAAAAATCTGGCTAATTGTGTTTCTCATTTGTGGTGCCATCATCAATTTATCTTATGATCAGTTAAAAACACAGTGTTTCTGAGTGTTTAGCATAGCCCCAATGTTTCTGTAAAAATTCAAGCTGTAACAGAATATTTGCACTCTAAAAATGCTGGGTTGTTTTAACCCAACTTTGGGTCAAACATGGACAAACCCAAATGTTAGGTTAGAAAATGTAATTAAAAATTTTAACCCAATGGCTGGGTTTGTCCATATTTGACCCAAGGTTGGGTTAAAACAACCCAGCAATTTTTGCGGAACGGGCAGTAATGGTCAGAAATTCAGCTCGAGTGACAAACCGTATCCTTAGAATCACTTTTTAGAACTATTTTTATTCAGATTATGAATGATTAAAACATTGACAGCCAATCAGAATCCATCTAACTTTGTAGAGCGTGAGCATTTAAAAGAGCACACAGCATGCTTAGAAGAACAGAACGATAGCGTGTGTTGTGTGTTATTGTTATAAATGTCATTCTTCATGTGAATCGCCGTTAAGTTTAGGTGATTTTGATGTGTGTGTTTTTATGCAGGTGGGTTGTGGTGTTGGTAACAGTGTGTTTCCCATCATCAGCACCATCAGGTAAGAGCGTTCGCTTTATGTTTCTCATTTTTTATTACTAGGAGAAATTATGTAGAAGTTTGTCTTTTAGTTGCCCTAGCAAAGGACTGTGAAATACACTACCATTTAAAAGTTTGGGGTCAGTAAAATGTTGTTGGAAACGTTTTTTAAATAAGTCTCTTATGTTCGCCAAGGCTGCATTTATTTGATTAAAAATATAGTCAAAACTGTAATATTGTGAATTATTATTATAATGTTTTATGTATATGTGATCAAAGCTGAATTTTCAGCATCATTACTCCAGTCTTCATTGTCATGTGATCATTCAGAAATCACTCTAATATGATGATTTGTTATTATTATTACAGTGTTTAATGATTTTTGGTAAAAACCATGATACATTTTTTTCTTGAGTATTTGATAAATAGAAACTTCCAAAGAATAGAGTTTATTTTGAAGTAGAACTCTTTTGTAACATTATAAATGTCACTTTTAATCAGTTTAATCCGTTATTTTAATCTCACTGACCCAAACATTGTAAATCTCATGCTCTAAGTCTTCTGAAACCGTACAATAGTTTCGTGTGAGGAACTATATCTTGAGTATTTAAGTTGTTCTTGTGTAATGTATTACGATCTATATTGTATGTAATAAGTGTAGTAACCATGTAATAAGAGGAAATATTGTACAGTCAGTAATGTTCAGGTCATTAGCATTTGCAAAATAGGCCCTAACTGGGTGACCTCAAAGCAAAAGCTGACTGCATTATCCCATACATATTAAGTTGTCAGAAATGAGATGAAAATCACAAAGAAATAGGGTTACACTTTATTTCAAGGTGTTCTTGTTACAGTGTAATTATATATTTAAAGATATATTTTATAAAAATGTATTTAAAAATGTATATGTCTTTCTTTCTTCAGTCGATTTTTGCTGAAAACATTCCTGGATTTTTCTCCATATAATGGACTTCAATGGGAACCAAACGGTTCAAGGTCCAAAAGACAGTTTCAGTGCAAACTGCGAACTGTTCAAAGGGCTTTAAATGATTCAAGACGATGAATAAGGGTCTTATCAAGCAAATCGCTCATTTAAAAAAGTTTTATAAGCACAAACGCTCACCTTGCTCTGTTCTGTGATGCGCATTCGTGACTCTCCTATTTGAACTCATTCATCAAAATGAACAAATCTTTTTTTCGAGTCATGACTCAAAGGGTCCTAGACAAGACCCTTATTCATTGTCTGGAGTCGTTTAAAGCGCTTTGAACAGTTTGCAGTTTGCACTGAATCTCTCATTTGGACCTTGAACCGTTTGGTTCCCATTGAAGTCCATGATATGCAGAAAATACTGGAACGTTTTCATCAAAAAGCTTAACTTCTTTTCGACTGAAGAAAGAAAGACATGGACATCTTGGATGACATGGGGGTGAGTAAATTATCAGCAAAAGTTTTTTTTTTAAAGTGAACTACTCCTTTAAGTACTGAGTAATATTAAGCAACTACATGTACTTACTATATGGTTACGGTAAGATTAGGATTAGGGGTAGTTGCATGTAATTATGCATATTTTGCTGTTATTGTTATAACTACGGTAAGTACATGTAACTAACATATGTAACAAGGACACTGTAAAATAAAGTGTGACCATAAATAGAAACACTAATTGGGAGTAGCAAGTAAAAGCTGGCATATTTGTGTATTTTTAGGGGCAGGAAGGCGTTTCTGTACTGCTGTGACTTCTCATCTCGAGCCGTTGAGCTCATCCAGGTAAATCACAGTGACATGTCTCTGCTTCTCAGCGCATAATTACACCTGCCACCTTTCCATCAAGCAGAGCCCACACACACATCCCAGATATACATTAGTGAGAGCCTCTGAGAATGGATAAAGATGGGGAGGGCAGCATATCCTGTTCTCCATCCATATAAGTGACGGCTGATCAGTAGTGTGGGAGTTTGGCTCGGTCTCCTGGTGCTTGATGCTTTTTGGTATGCAGAGTCCTTCATCGAATGCCAGCAGCGGAACATATTGAATGGCGGGGGAAGTGGCATCCACATCATACAGTGCTGCATGTACGCTATCCTAATAGAAAAACTAATATCGTTACATTTTGTGAAGAAAATTTGAGTTTGCCGGTGCAAAAGTCACAGCCGTGTTGCTTGGGCGTTGGTCCAAGTCAAAAGAGCCACAGAGTAGAGGTGGTGTGGTGTTCTGGACCCTCCATACGACTTGAGAAAAATCATAAATGTTTTTTTGAGCAGCAAATCGGCATATTAGAATGATTTCTGAAGGTTCATGTGAGACTGGAGACTGGAGAATAATGAGGCTGAAAATTAATTACGTTTTACATTACATTTTCAAATAGAAAGCAGTTATTTTGTGTGTTTAATCAAGAGGAATTCATGATACTTTCATGGAAATTTTCTTCAATATTTTAATAATTAATTTGGAATTAAAAAAAAATGTCATTTTATGGAAGTTTAAATTTACGTTAAATCAAATATACTGTACTATATATTTTTTATTTTATATTAAATATATATTTTACTAAATATTTTTACTATAAAATCAACGCCATACATCTAACAAAGTTATGTTCCAAATTTGAAGTTCCCATGAGATTTTATTTAGGCGTAGTACCAAAAATAGCCACCGGGTGCCATTGAATTCCATTGAATTTAGTTGTATACATTCTGCCTTAACAAATTAATACATTTCTGTCCAAATATTAATTCTGAGACTCAGACCTTTCTGTGTTTCTGTGTTTTGTCAAGATTAGAAAAGGTTTTGATCATAAATTATGAAATATAATGATGCCCAAAAGGGGAGGAGCCTGATAAAATAAGTACCTTTTCTATGGTAACGTAACGTTCAATTATAAAACGTTTTTCACAGGATGAATTCTGAGTTTCTAAGCTTTCAAATGATACCTAATTTATGATAACTACTAAAATATGTGATAAATAAAAAAAATAATATTATTATACATTATATTTTAGAGGATAATATATATTATAATTTTTAGAGGATGATATTATACTATAATTTTTATTGAAAAATACTAGATTATATGTTTTATTATGAACTTTTTAGCATAAAAACAGAAGTTTCAATGATTAAAAGTGGGTGCATCGACTTTTTGTGACAAAGGTCAGACGGATTTTTTTGAGGTGCACTCTTGTCATAAATTCATCAGTTACTCTTCCTACATAATTTGTAACAGGGGTAGAATATTTATTTAGAAGTCTTAGACCTTTCCAACGATATATAATTTGTCATAATTAGATTTTGGATTTAATAGAGATATAGTGAAGTACTGTTAGGCGTCCCGGTATCGGGACGGTGAACTTTTTCATACTTTAATTTTTTTTAAATGTTTTCACTTCAGCAATAATCTGCTTATATTTTTTGGTATATATTCCAAAGCATTCTTGAATTACAACCATTTAAGTTTTTATTTAAAACTAAATAAACTTTAAAATTTAAAGTTTAAAACAATTCTCAAAAAGGGGGGTGACGGCGAAGGGGTTAATAAATACAATATATAAAGTACAATTGTATAAATCATTGTAGTACTCAATTTAAATGCTAGTTTTAGCTAGTTTTTAATACAGTGCTTCATTTTTATGCTCTTTTTTCGGGATGAAATATGACCTGGACATTTCATTATGGGATTCACCTTGAAAGTAATTTTATTTAGTCTATTTGAAGTGTGATTAAAGCGATTCCCAAAGTGTCAACAGCTTTCATATTCACAAATGAAACTCATAATGTTTGTTAATTTCCATTAGTATGGAAAAATGTCCACCTTGGCAGTCGTTCTGCCTCACTTATACCTCAGCCAACTGCACGTTTTCCCTTGCAGGAGCACCCAGACTACGACCCTGCGGTGTGTCATGCGTTCGTGCGGGACATTCGTGACCCGACGTCCCCATTTCCCTTCCCCCCTGAGAGTTTGGACATTATTCTGGTGGTCTTTGTGCTCTCTGCCATCCACCCAGCACGGTAATAAAGGTCACACACACACATTCATACTTGCCCATCATGCATCTGACATTAGAGTGTTTATATGGCCAGTGTCCATTACTGCTGTCTCACTTATAGCAGCCATTTCCAGTTTACCTCACTGTCCCTTCAGCCAAATCACTCACAACATATATTTAATATCTGTAAAATATTTCTATACTTTAAATAGCATTAGAAAAGCACATTTTTATTTTATCATCAAACCACATTTATATACAAACTTAACATTTCCAGTCCATAGATTTATGTGGCAGGTTAAGTCAAAACATGATTATTTATTTATTTATGTTAAAGCCAGTGTTGTAGCTTTAGAAGTTTATGATATATTCAAACATAAACAGGTTCATGGCAGCTCTTGAGCAATGTTATGGAAAATTGAGTGTTTGAGATTGTCAGTTTACATATTTGCCACTGTGAGTATCTATGGCTTTTTGCAAAGGGAATTGAGTGCAAACATGAAACTCACAGAACCATAGACTAGTATCTTTTAGAAAAGTGTTTCTAGTTTGCTTTGCACTTAGAGATGTTGAACTAATGTTTCCACTTGTTCCTCGTCAGATTCACAGAGTTTTTAATACATTCCCTCAAATATAGTCGATATAATATTGAGTCTGAGTTATTTGTACAGTGCACTTATTACAGGTTCAATCCTTCTAGACTAGAGGAACCATGAGCTGAAGCGTCTTCATCAAGGTTACATGGTGATACAGTATAGCTTATAAATAAACCCTGATAGGATTTAAATCTACAACCTTACTGTTAGAAACTCAGATCCGTCATTTCAGGGAATGCAACTTACATTTACATTTACATTTTATTCATTTAGCTGACGCTTTTTTCCAAAGCGACTTACAATTGCTATATATGTCAGAGGTCGCACGCCTCTGAAGCAACTATGGGTTAAGTGTCTTGCTCAGGGACACATTGGTGTCTCACAGTGGATTCGAACCCGAGTCTCTCACACCAAAGGCATGTGTCAGGGAATCCATGTTTTTACATGAGCATTTGCATAAAAATCATAAAAAAATACTACTTTTCCAATGAAATTAAATGTTAAATGTACTAAAATAACTCAAATTAAAACTGAAATGAATAAAACACTTTATAGATATATTTTTAAAACTAATAAAAATAACAAAATTAATAAAACTTTACAATAAAATTTCAAAATATTAATAAGTTACAATAGCATGCCAGTGATCCTAATACATGTGTTAGTGAGTTTGTAAATTCATTTTCTATAGCAAATAATAATTACACCTTAAATCTGTTTTTAAGTTCTAAAATTGTAAAAAAAAAAAAAAAAAAAAAAAAAAATCATCATTTATTCACACTCATGTCATTCCAAATGAATTATTTAGCAGAATTTCTGAGTTTTCTTTCCACATACAACAGCAACTCAGGCTGTCGAGATTCATAAAGGATAAAAAAACACCATCAAAATGTCTCAAATAAATTATATAGAGAAATTGCCATTCAATTCAAACTCATGTGATCCCATTTGGAAGCCAAATAGCATCCCTGTTATTATCTAAACATGAATGTGCTTAAAACACCTGTAACCCTTCGGCTTTGCTCCTGCAGAGCTCAAGGAGTGGTGAAGAGTTTGGCTGGACAGCTGAAGCCGGGAGGGATCATGCTGTTCAGAGACTATGGCAGATATGATCTGTCACAACTACGATTCAAAACAGGTGATTGTCTCTGTTGACTCATCTGGCTCAGACTTTTCATTACCTAATATGTCATGTGTTAGCTGTGAATGTTAAAAAAAAACACTGATACAGAGACCCCTCTTTGTATTCTATTTAAAGGGATACTCCACCGTTTCACCGTTTCCACAGCCCAGTTCATTCATTAGGATCCAAGCAGAGAAGCGGCCAAACACCTCCATGTTTTCCCTATTTAAATACAGTTACACGAGTAGAGTAACTCGACCAAGAATGGTGACACAATAAAACGTTGCGCTTTTCTTCGACTCGGCGCAGTAATATCATATCATTACTCGTGAAAAGTGAAAAAAACGGTGGATTATCCCTTTAAAATACACATTAAACCAGTTTCATTGTAAGGAGGTGTGCACATAACACACATACTGTAAATACACACTTTTTCTCTCATGCTCACTCAGTCACGTTAGCATTGTCTTGTGTACCCTTTTATCTACACAAAATCAGAAACATGCTCATTTAAACCCACACTGGAAATAATTAGGTATTCAAACACGAAGTGCTGAAAACTTATTGTATTTGTAAGGGTTTTTATTATTATTCTTCTGCCGAAAAACGCATCGTGCCGCCCAGCCCCAAACCGTAAGGCCTAGAGACTTGAAACTCAGCCAGATGGTAGGCCTCAAATTGGGGAAAACCTATCAGAGTATGAGCCCGATTGGCCCATAGGTGGCGCTAAAGCAACTAAAGTACTAAATTGCTCATAACTCCTAGACCGTTTGACTCACCCTGAATTTTTTTTACACCACTGATTTCGATTTAGGCAAAAAAAAAAAAAAAGTCCAACATGTCGAATTTTGTCCAAGACCTACTTTTGCGAACTAGTCCCTGGTTTTTGCCCAATCAGAACCAATTCTCTGGACTATCTAGATCAATAATTATCGAAAAAAAAGTTAAAATTTTGCATTTGGTTGGCTACAACACGGTCATTTAGAAAGTGGTCCGTGGCAAAATACAGTCAAAAGCCAATAAATCCTAAAGGAAAAGTCAGAACTTCAAAATTGATGAGCATTATGTGTCCTAACATGGTTAGGGAGCATGCAAAGTTTCGTGAAGATCGGACCATAGGTGGCGCTATAACCGTCGCAAAGGTCTCATTGTTATTAGGTGTTCAAGCACGAAACTATGATCAATCATGCTAGATTCTTGGTAAATCATACTGGAACATGGTATATAATGAAAATCACACTGAAATGTGGTGTATCATGGTAAATAATGGTCTATTCCAACTATGATCTCAGTGGTAAATGCTGGCTAATTAAAACGTAATGTCTTTTGATGCTTTTGTGCTTAAAGGCCTTAACTGGTTGAACACCACTAAATGCTCCTTGCCGCTTTAATTTAGCATTGTAATTAATATTATTACAAAGTCCATTAGTACAGTGATTCAGTTTTAATTGATATCCAAATCGTCAATACAATATACAACACATTGTTTTTTGTTTCCCTTAAAAAACAACTGAATGTTTTCAGCCTCTAATTATGAAAAAAAATACAAGATTTATATTTTGATAGTTCTAAATTTTTTATTTATGTTAAAAATATGAATTTCTTTTCTCGTAGATTTAACAAAAATAGCACCAAATCTTGATTGTGATCTATTCTTGAATAACCGAGCATCACTTTCCACAGGTCAGTGTTTGTCTGAAAACTTCTACACGCGACAGGACGGAACCTGTGTGTATTTCTTCACAAAAGGTAGAACTATTCCAGCAGATTTTTTGAATTCCTTACATATTATTTTTGTATTGCATGCACACCTATTCATGCTGAATGTGTTGATCTCTACAGACGAGGTTCATCATTTGTTTTCTAATGCTGGTTTGGAGGAGATTCAGAATTTGGAAGACAGAAGACTGCAGGTAAACAGAGGGAAGAAGGTGGTAATGCACAGAGTGTGGATGCAAAGCAAATACCGGAAGCCTTATCTGACTTCAGCATCAGTCTAGCACACTGAGCTCTACACAAATGCAGCTACTTATCAAGGACATTTACCTTTGTAACAGACCTCAAGTATAATAAATGGTGGAGATGACACTGTAAAAACATGAAAAAACAATCCTTATTATATTTTCTGATGTGCCACAATTGTGTTTTGTCAATAACTCCCATTTTGTAATGAATGCATTGTCTTTGCATTATTAGATATTTGAGTGAATTGTCTTTACGAGTTCTGAAAGTATGAAAGACCTTTTTACCATTGCATATCATCAAATAATAATATGATTTAAGTTAAAAGATGTTTGATTTTTCAATTTAAGAATATTTTCTACTGCTATGCTGTTTTACTATTATTATTATATCAAACCCATTCATTTTATTTGTTCTTTAAACATGTATTTGCTCAGGCTTTTTATAGAATTGTTTGAGATGTACATTGAATGTTGTTGTTTTATATTTGTGATGGCAAATTGGTTTCCAAAGAAATAAAGTTGATTTATAAAATGTTTATTTGATATTTATTTCACAGATGTGCTTGACCGTCGTATATAATGATGTGATGTGTGATGTGTGTTATTGTTATTGATGTTATTTCCATTAAGAGGTGCCTACATTTTTGGTCAAGATTAACAATAATAAGAGTCCAGCAAAGTCTCCTCCAGCACATCCCAAAGACTTTCAATGAATTTAAGGTGCCAATTCGTGTGTAAAAATGATTCTTCATGCTCCTCCCAACTATTCTTTCACAGTTTGAGCCTGATGAATCTTGACATTGTTTTCCTGGCCGGAAAATGACCATGATTGTTTAAGAAATGAAAAGCTACAAAAACTCAATTTGGGTTAGAAAAACTGTTGCCAATCATGTAACATAATTTAGAAAACCTCTAAATAATGATCCATCTGCCTATTTAAATCCAAACAACGACTTTTTTGGCCGGGCAGTGTATGTACACCACAGACATAAGCATGTGTGTGATGGATATGATGTTTAGACCGATGGGACAATGATTTCTAAGTGTGCCCCCAAGTCTCTCCCCCCAGCTAATTTCCATGGGATGAGTGTCAAGTATCGCGATAGTGTTTCGAGAGACACACACACAGAGAGAGAGAGAGAGAGAGAGAGAGAGAGCAGCTTCATGTCTTCATTGCATCTTGATCCTCTCTTCAGTAGCAGCAGGCGCTTCCAGACGCACTGCAGAGGGCGATGAAGGTTTGTGTGTCTGTCCCAAGTGTTGACAGCCCCTCCTCCTCCCCCCGATGAAAAAAAAAACACCATCATTCACTTAACCTCCTACATTATGTCTGATGTGTTTTGCGTGGACAGCTGATTGGTGTTTTGCTCTATGATTCTCTAAAAGTAGCTCGATGAGTGCGCAAAGTAACAGTGGAAGTTTGGAGGGGACGCCATCTTGGCTCCAGCAGCAGCAGCAGCGGCTCTCGAGCGCGTCCCCGGCGCCGCTTCCACACACACTCGGCGCGCCGCTCGCACCAGCCAAAGAAGGTAAAGTGTGCTTGTTTTGTTCTCAGAAGTTTCTAGTTTTGGATAGTCGAAGGGCTTTGGTTGAAGGTAGCGTTTGTGGAGTTAAAATTAGCTTACAATTACTCGACCGACTTGGCTTACGAGTTACAGTATGAGGTTAGCAGGCTGCGGTTGGGTTAGCTTTTTAGCTGGACAGCATTTTGGCTAATTAGCTAGGGTGGTATTGGATGACAAGCATGTTAGCCACTTAGCATGCTAGCGTGTTGGTTTCTTGGCTAGTTAGCCGCCTAGCTTGTGCTGTCAAAAATGAATTGTGTAAAGTGGCCTCTGACTGGCTAACTAGCATTTAGCTTCTTTGCTGGTTAGCATGTTAGCCTCATACAGGTGAGACGAGCGCTTTAGCATCTTAGCTCATGGCTAATTAACTTAGCATCGTAAGCTCATACTGTACTACAGTGCAACTGCTCGGGAGGAGCTCCAGCAAGTCAAAATAAGAAATAAAATTAAAAACGTCAACTGGTAATTCAATGTTTTAGAACTTGTATCTGTTATGGTATTTGGCAATATGATATCGCATTTTAAGATTACACTGTAAACTGCTGATAATTACACTGAGGTTTTAGTGAGACTTGGAGACTCTGGTTCATGATGGCAAACAGGGTCGCGCATATATGGAGCAAATAGGTTTGTTTTGTTTTCTACCCTCCCTTTTATTAACTTTTTTTTTTCCTTAAGTCACTATTGTTTTTGAAAGTTACTTTTTTTCCAGTGTATGTTTCTATGCTCATGTATATTAAATCACAGAGTTACTCTTAACAGTTTGGGCTTGGTCTTTGCTGAAATGGGTACAAGTGTTGGCATTGTGCCCTTTTTAAGGTGTTGTCCACTTCCACACATATGGCATTTAGGATATTATTGGAGTTGTTGGCCAGTTGTCAAGTCGTGTCAGTCTGCACAGCTGACCTTTCATCCTGTCACTGAGCATTGCATCCTAATACTAATGTGTTTGTCTGTCAGCAGACCTCAATGAGCTCATTTTACTGTACTCTTTCCACGCTGTTGCTTATGCATGTGTTCTTTTCATTGCAAAGAGACTTCAGATTAGTGATATTCCCCTGGGGAGATGTTTTGTTGAGAAACTATCAAGAGCTGTTTAACTGCAAGAACTGATATTGTGAACAAGCATTGGTGTAGCAATGCAAATATAAATTATACAAGTTTTTAATAATCACTCAACACATTAAATGGTGAAATAAAGTGGGTTTTTAATTGACAGCATAAGTATGTGTCAGAAACAGGTGGACACTGACTGTGCCTGTGAAGAGCAGAAAGCTAAAATGACATCCCTGCATTGTAAGGGTTCACCCGGGTGCTTGTGCAGGGGCCTGAGAGCAGGAGACCCGTGCAGAATGTCAAGGAAATGATGCCTCTTCACCAGAGAGTGCAAAAAGGACAAAGAGCAAGAGGCAGTATTGAGGATTAACCACTAGGCTAAATGCTTTACTTTGACATGTTTTTTTTTGTGTTTGAATTGTGCTGTCTGTCATTACTTTCTGTCTTAAGATGTGGAAATGTAATTTAATTTATCAAGCCCGGGTGATGCTATTAAGCTGCATCTGTTTACTGTAGCTGTATCTCCCAGATGTGTTGTTTTTGAAGTATAAATCGATTATTTAGCACTCTTGAAACACATCCACTGAGTCGGAGGCTGCCCAAAATAGCCTCACCTTCTCCCGTCTGCCACCATTACGAACTCTAATGATAAACCTCCCCTGCAGTCCTGTTTATGTCCTGGCCTGATAACACCACTGATCTTTGCACTGCCATTTTGTGTCAGTGGGAATGTGCTGGGCATCCATGTTGGCTCTTGGCCCTCCAGAGAGAGAGGGATAAGCCTGGGTTAAAGACTGCAGCCAGAGAGAGTTTCATACAGCAGTTTCTGCTACAGAGGACTCCTCGCTTCCTAATGCTGTTGTATCAGTCCTGTTGTTCACAGCATGACACTACATAATACATGTTTTACTGTAACACACCTCTGAAATGTCAATCTAATAGCGGTCATGTAGGGTAGGCATATATGACGATAATTATCGCTATATAATTTTCCTCGATAAAGCGATAACAAGAGTTTCAATAAATTTTCAACATAGGGCTGGACGATATGGCCAAAATATCACAATATATTTCTTAATTTCGTTCGATACAATATAATTGCGATCAGGGGTGCCGCCAGAAATTCTGGGCCCAATGGAAACCCAAATTTCTGGGCCCCCTACATTTAACCCAATAAACATGCCCAGTATACTTACCCAAACATATTGACATACTAATACTTCAAAGTCAAATGGGTAAAACTACTCAATCAGGAAACATCAGCTTATTTTTATTGGCCTATTTATTTTTCTTTATATAAAATAAAAAAAAAAATCTATTTAGTAAACTCCGTATAGCCAATGTTTACTACAGACACATGTTTTATTCAATTTTATATTATTTTTTTCTGGGGCATTTTATTCACATTAGCCACTGAATCTGTGTCTACGAGACAAGATATCCCCGGAGACAGCAGAGATAGCAGAGATGTTATATAGCCTGGATGCCAGCCCGAACTCCGCCCACAACATTTTTTGGTCGGGAAGTTCGGTCTGGACTCGATCCATTGAGGAGTAATTATGATGAGTCAAAAAATGATCGGGCCAATCAAATTGCCAGGGCGGGATTTATACGATGATGGACAGATGGTCTGCAGGGACGTAATCATCACGTTATCAAAGAGCGCTTAACTGGTTTCCCTCAGAGATGACCGCAGCTAAATAAATAAAGTTAGGCTACGTTCTGTATTTGAAAACTGCGCTATGCAAAGGAGTTGACTTACTGCGTTGCTCTGATTGGTTGTAGGTCTACCGACTATCCAATTGAGTGCAGAGGTTTTTTTTTTTTTTTTTTTTCTGGTTCGGTTACGACACGCCTCATAATCAAAGCCCAACGGAGGAGTTTCAGACTCATATTCTCTCTTGAATATGAGTATGACGAAGTCAGGCTAGAGATGTTATATTGTTGGATGTAAACAATTATTCAGTAATTATTTAGCTAATCTAGCTATAAGCACTTTATGCAGTTTATTTTTTGACCTGAACCAAACATTTCTATTCAAAGATCAGTATGTCTTTAGTCTGACCGTCTTTAGTCTGACACAAAAAAATAAATAAATAAATAAAAATATGAGAATGATTAACTCAAATGTGAAAAAAAAATAGTGTCACTGTTATAACAGTGCACTGGCTAAATCAGACCTTTCAGGCCATAGCCTAACGCTAATAAGCCTTATGCCAAAATTATTATTACAACTAAATTCATTAAATAGGAAAACTAAATAATTGTGTAGAGGATTCGAATTGTGTAGATAAAGTGTAACCCGACATCAGACATTAAGTACTTTTTTGCACACAGTCACAATCACTCCTTATGCTGCGTTCACACCAGACATGAATAGCGCGTCAAATTCGCGTCTAGTTATACTCGTGAACACTTTGAATCCATTCGTGCGTCAAGAGTTAAAAAAAAAGTTTAGACTGGCTGCCTGCACATTCACTGTCCTCGCAGCTGCGGCTGCTGCAACTTGAGGGGGCTGGCTGCAGGACGACTCAACTTCCACGGATAGTTTTATATCAAGATATATATTTGCTTTACTATCATTTTCGGGACAATTAAGGACTGTTTTGGGATTCCCGACAACAGCTTAGATTTTTCGGGACTTCTGGTCTAGTAGCTAATCTAACTTTGAAAGTTTTGTAATACAGGAAGGAATATGGCGAGCTACCTTTATTATTTGAAAAACTGTGTGACATACTGTCGACTTCGGAGTTCTCCGTCTTCTCTTTCCTTCGAAAGAGATGGCAATGTTTAGCCGATGTTTAAGAGGGGGCGATGTTTAGCCGATGCCGTCTAATGTCTGTCAGCCATCATCGTCCATCGGCCCAACCCTACTATCCGGATATTTATAATTATCTTGATCATACAGTATCCGT